GGTATGGAGCTGACCTTACGTGCCAAATGCCATTCAACTTTAGGAAATACTCAAATTCGCTGCTGGTAAATGATGGCCCCTTGTCTGTGACCAACAACTCCCGGGGTCCATGTATTGCAAAAGATGTGGGCTGTTTTCCATCATTGTCCACATGTTTGATGAATGAACTCTTATGCACATCCAACCACTTTGAGTGGGTGTCCACAATGACTAAGAACATAGACCACATGAAAGGACTTGCACAGCCAACATGTAACCACATCCGGGGTTTAACTGGCCATTCCCACAAATGTGGGAGATGCTGCTGGTGGTAACTTTTGTCCTTGTTGGTACCCTGGGCACTGCCCTGCCAATGTGGCTATGTCAGTGTCCAACCATAGAATCCCGACAGTGTGGAATCAGGCCATTCGACCCATCAAGTCCACACTAACCCTCTGAAGAGAATCCCACCCTAGACACTATGGACAATTTAGCATGGCCAATCCACCTAACCTGCACATCTTTGGACTTTGGGAGGAAACTGGAGCACCCAGAGGAAACCCACGCAGACACGGGGAGAACGTGCAAACTCCACACAGACAGTCGCCCGAGCGTGGAATTGAACCTGGGTCCCTGGCGCTGTGAGGCAGCAGCGCTAACCACTGAGCCACTGTGCCACCCTGGCCACAAGACCCACCTGCTGACCAACATCTTCATTTTGGAAACCCCTGGATGATGGGTATCCATGGGTATCCGCATGGGCCCAAGCTATGCCTGGATACGTGGATGCATAGGTTACGTGGAACAATCCCTCTTCCGCAGCTACACTGGCCCAATCCCCCACCTCTTCCTCCGTGTACATCAATGACTGTATCGGCGCCGCCTCGTGCTCCCACGAAGAGCTCGAACAGTTCATCCACTTCACCAACACCTTCCACCCCAACCTCAAGTTCACCTGGACCATCTCTGATACCTCTCTCTCCATCCTTGACCTCTCTGTTTCCATCTCTGGCAACCACCTGGAAACTGATATCTATTTCAAGCCCACCGACTCCCACAGCTAGAATACACCTCCTCCCACCCACCTTCCTGCAAGGATGCGATCCCCTATTCCCAATTCCTTTGCCTCCTCCGCATCTGCTCCCAAGATGAGGCGTTCCACTCCTGGACATCCCAGATGTCCTCGTTTTACAAGGACTGCAATTTCCCCTCCACAGTGGTTGAAAATGCCCTCAATCGCGTCTCTTGCATTTCCCACACCTCAGCCCTAACACCCCCTCCCCGCAATAACAACCAAAAAAGAATCCCCCTCATCCTCACATACCACCCCACCAACCTTCAGATTCAACGCATCATCCTCCGACACTTCCGCCATCTGCAATCCGACCCCACCACAAAAGACAGTTTTCCCTCCCCACCCTTATCTGCGTTCTGGAGCGACCACTCTCTCTGTGACTCCCTTGTCCGCTCCACACTCCCCTCCAGCCCCACCACACCCGGCACTTTTCCCTGCAACCGCAGGAAGTGCTACACCTGCCCCCACACCTCCTCCCTCATCCCCATCCCAGGCCCCAAGAAGACTTTCCACATCAAGCAGATGTTCACCTGCACATCTGCTAATGTGGTATACTGTATCTGCTGTTCCCATTGTGGCCTCCTCTACATCAGGGAAACCAAGCGGAAGTTTGGGGACCGCTTTGCGGAACACCTACGCTCGTTTCACACTAAACAACTGCACCTCCCAGTTGCGAACCATTTCAACTCCCCCTCCCATTCTTCAGACGACATGTCCATCCTGGGCCTCCTCCAGTGCCACAACGATGCCACCCGAAGGCTGGAGGAACAGCACCTCATATTCCGCTTGGGAACCCTGCAGCCCAATAGTATCAATGTAAACTTCACAAGCTTCAAAATCTCCCCTCCCCCGATCTCATTGTCCCTGCCTCCTTGAACCTGTCCGTCTTTTCTCTCACCTATCTGCTCCTCCCACCTCACTGACCAACACCCACCCCCACTTCCTCCCTCCTAGCCTTATCCCTGCCTCCTTGACCTGTCTGTCTTCCCTCCCACCTACCTGCCCCTCCCTCCCAACTGACCAATCCACACCCCAACTCCCTACCTACACTCACCTTTACTGGCTTCATCCCTACCTCCTTGACCTGTCCGTCTTCTCTACACCTATCTGCTCCTCTATCCACCTGCTAACATTTAAGCACTATGTCCAAGTTCCCTAAGTGCTCTTTATTGGTCTTCCTGGTTATTAGCAAGTCATCCAGATAAATGGAACCTGGGGTAGACCTTGTAAATTGTTCTCCATCATCTGCTGGAAAAGAGAGCAGGCTGACAATACCCCAAATGGCAGTGACATAAAGTGATACAAACCCTAATGGGTATTAATTGTAGCACACTTCTGGGAATCCTCATCGAACTGCAATTGCAAGGGCACATGGCTCATTGTTAGCTTTGTGAGGGACAGCCCTACTGCCAGCTTTGCAAATAAACCCTCTGTGCGAGGGACTGGGTATTTATCCAGCTGTGAGAAGCAGTTCGCTGTTTGTTTAAAATCCCCACAAAGACAAACTGACCCACCAGGCTTCACAATTAGTACGACCAGCACTGCCCATTCCCCACACTGAGCTGGTTTGATGATTCCTTCCCCTTCCAGCTTCCTGATTTCTGCCTCTACTTTTACCCATGAGGCAAATGGCACTGTGTGGGCCATGGAATCATGGAATTACTTCCTGGTCAACATGTAAGGTGGCCTTGGCCCCTTAGATAGTCCCTAGGCCTTCCTGAAAAACTAATTCGTGCTTCACTCAGGCAGCCATTTTCCTCATTGAAAAATGTTGAGCCAATCAAGGTGAATCTTTCTGAACCAGTTTCGCTCCATCAGGTTTGGGCCTGAGCCTTTTACTACAGTCAGTGGGAACTGAACCAGCTGCTTCTCATAAGAGACCGGAACTGAAATTGTACGCTTAACCTATAAAGGTTCCCTGGTATAGGTTCTCAGCCTAGCCGAGGTTGTATGCAAACCTAAGGGTTGGAGTTCAGAGTGAATTTTGTTAAAGCCTGGTTCTGCACTCACTGATACAGCTGCACCAGTATCAACTCCATTAGAACTGGGTGACCATTTAACCAGACGTTTATTTTGATTAGTTCTGATTTGGATGTTGCTGAACAATTTAATTGTTCCAAACCAGCTGTAGGTGGGCTTTCCTGGGTTTGCATGTGCACTGTCCTGGATACTAGCCGAGGAGTTCTCTTACTCAATTTGGGTGTAGCGTGACTCCTTTGCTGTCTCGAGTCAGCACACAGGCAACAACTACAATGGCTTGCTAGCCCAAATCTTGAAGAAAATGTTAACCATTTGACCAAGGCTTTGCTTTGTTTTAGTGTTTTGCTGTGGGCTGACCTAAGGTCCCTTTGTTCAGGACATGTCCGAGTGAGGCTGTGCAATTGGCTTCACTCACGTGGTGTTCCCCAAGCTCAGTCTGATTGGTGAGAGTGTCCACTTCCATCAGAATACCCTGTAACTCACCAGTTCCACTTGCTGCTTTTTCCAATGATAAAGCTAGTTGCAGTATAGCTGGGTTTCATCTCTGAGAAGTTTGTGATTTCACAGTCAGTCTGCTGTGAAAGTTGTTACAATACTGTGGCTTTAAGAGATGCATTTTGTCCTGGGTTTTTTTATGAAGAGAGGTTGTAATAGACGGACAGAGGGGTCTGCTCAATGCCAATAAAGTAAACAGCTTGTGAGGTCTTGAGATTTTTTTTAAAGTTGGAACAATAGAAGCAGCCTGAATGGGAGGGTTGAAGTTCCCACAGAACCAGGATTTTTAGTTTTAGCTTTCAGAAGTTGCTGGAGTCTTGAAGCTGGATGTTGAAGCTCTTATTTCTCTCCCTGTTACAGCTAAAAGCTGGGGTTCTATTCCTGCTGCTAGAATTGTATGTGAGACAATCTGTTTTGCTGACTTTGCCTTTGCCATGGGTGTGTTATTATATTGGAGCAGTTAATTAGTAGTAGTTAATACATCTATTATTTTATTAAGCATTTTGATAGAGTTACAGTTAAGCCAATTCTTTTCTTTTTATATTTTCTGTATTTTAACTGGAGTGAAAAATAGAGTGTTTTGCTTAAAGTCAAGTCGGTTGACCAATTGAATTACATTTAGAATGTAACACCTTTCACTTACGTTCAAAATAAGGAAAAGTTAGGGTCAAGGCTATTTTCTTGATATATTTTGAGGGGATTTGGACTGGTTCATATCAAAGTGCACTGCTTGATGTTTGCTTGTTGATTTCTAGAGCTGTTTTACTTACTTGTCGATTACCTGCTCCCCATATTACCTGTTCCCCATACAGCCTGCCCAGAGATCTCAGGACATTCAGCCAGAGCAGGTGGGGCTTGAAACCAGGCCTCCTGGCTCAGAATGACGAATGCTATCACCGCACCACCCTCTCGTGCAATCATTTTTGCTTTATTCCACATTTTTATTTCTTTTTTGTTCACTTGTGGGACATGGGTGTCACTGGCTGGGCAGCATTTCTTGCCCGTCCCTAGTTGCGCCCCTTGAGAAGGTGGTGGTGAACTGCCTTCTTGAACCGCTTCAGTCCTCCTGCTGTGGGTTGACCCACAATGCCCTGAGGAAAATTAAATTAAATTGCGCCATCTGCAACAGGGATATTGGAGACCCTATCTCTAAGAACATTAGCCTGGGGTTCTCAGCTCCTCATCTGGTGACATATTCCCACTATGACACCAACCCCCAACCCCCACCTTCTCATTCAATGACCCCTGCATTAATATATCATCATCACAGCTGTTCTCCTGCTCCATGTAGCTCCAGGCATCGCTGAAATTTGGTTCCATACTGTCAGTGTGAATATGTCTCAGTATTATTGGCCATCATTGTACAAAACCAAAAGAGAAAATAATCACCATATACGGTGTGGATGTCAGGGAAAAAATAGAGTTTAATTGATTAATAATATTTTAACTTGTTTTCATTGACTTTCCTCAGAAACCAGGAAAGGATGTTGACTCAATCATCAATGATATTAATTTTCAAAAGGAGAGGGAAATGCACAAAGAGTGGGACAGGTAAAGGAATGTATTTATTCACATTTTAATCAGTTAATTATTCTCCATGTATGGCCCTCAAGCTGACCCTTCTGCTTTTATATATTGGGCAGTGGCAGGCTGGCAAGAGTAAGGGTCTAGTTTTAAAAATGACTTTATTGAAAAGGTGGAGGGAAGGGAGGTGCCATTATCCAGGGGAGATCCTGTGCCCATTCAGCGCACTCCCACAATGTTAACCATCACCCAGTTTGACCCTCCACCCTGACCCAATTCCTGTCAGCTCTCCCTACTCAGCCCCAGTACTAAACCACACCCCAAACTCTGACCACTGTCTCCCATCAGCAGGTCTGGGCCTTCCTGGAGCTCCAGCCAATGAGATACAATAGAATAGAAGCCCTATGGTGTGGAATAGGGCCATTCTGCCCATCATGTTATACCAACTCTCCAAAGAGCATCCCTACCAGAACCACCCCATAACCCCACATTTCCCACTGCTAGTCCACCCTAACCTGCACATCTTTAGACTGTGGGAGGAAACTGGAGCATCCAGAAGAAGTCCACGCAGACACAGGGCAAATGTGCAAACTCCACATAGACAGTCACCTGAGAGTGGAACTGAACCCAGGTCCCTGGCGCTGTGAGGCAGCAGTGCTAACCACTGAGCCACTGTGTCACCCTTGGAATGGAGAGATCACTGTGGGACCATGTGATCACTGTTAGATGGAGAGATCACTGTTAGATGG